CTCCCAAGGGTGGGCACATAATCCGTCTCCAAACTCAAATCCTCTGAATCCACAAAGTCTCCTTCACAAATGACACCATCCACTAAAATCAATTGGCTCTGACTAGAAAAAATACAGCTAGGAAAACCACTCAAGTTGTCCTCTTTGCGGGGAAAACCTACTGAAAGTTTCTTGCCAAGGTCTTTCGAATTCTTGGTGGTAACCACTCTCCCCAACAACACTCTGAACATAGGCCAGTAGAACATGGGGAAGAAGCAAGTGTACATCAAGAAGACACATTTCCAAGTGAAAGGATTTATTTATAAATATAAGGTGCATTCCCCACCTGCATTCTGAGGACCGTCAAATCTAGGAAAGGTTGTGCTACAACTATTCTCTATGCTTTTTTAGCTTGAAAACCCACAGGCTTTTGTCACTGTAGACCTGTGGTTCCCAACCTTTTTTTGACCAGGGACCACTTTGACCAGGGACCACTTTCCAACATTAGTCCCAAAAGGGTTACAAATCAGTTTTTGGTCAACTTTAGATTCAATTTGGTTATTTGGGGTGCTGAGTCAGAAAATTGCATTGGATAAACCATATATGCTCGAATTTCTGATACAGAACATATGCCATGAAGTAGTCGCCATCTGCTCACTCACAGAGAACAATAGTTAATAATCTAGAACTGATGTGGTGGTAGCAATATTTTGTGTGTAGTCAACCACTCCCCTCCCGACATCCCAGTTGCCATGACACTATAAGAGGGTTTCACAAGACCAGCTGCTCTCATTGCCGCATGGTTTCATGGCAACAGCCTAGTAATGATGAGGCTACGGACCATATTTTTGTTCTTGTGGACCACTGGTGGTCCACAGACCACAGGTTGGGAACCACTGCTGTAGACAAAGCATTTAACTGGGTAGCTGCTGTATTTTCTTGCATATTCTTTCAAATTCTGTTTTTCTGTATGTTTTTATTCCTGTTGTGCTTTGACTGTATTTGTATCATGTTATTATTCATGTTGTGCTTTGATCATAAACCACATGGAGTCCAATTTGTTGATGGAATAGAAACAGAAGACACCAATTAATAAAAACACTGTGCTCAAGGACTCAAAATGAATTAACACTGGTGGGGGAGGGGGCTCAGATTACATATTTAAGATACAACCCTTGTATGGGATTAAATCTCATGAAAACAAGCATAGGCAAACTTCAGTGTTCCAGGTTTTAGGTCACTTCCACACAGCTGAATAAAACACATTATCTGCTTTGAACTGGAATATATGGCAGTGTGGACTCAAGTTGTTTTTTTTTTTTCTTCAGTCATGTCAGGAGCTATTTGAGAAACTGCAAGTTGCTTCTGGTGTGAGAGAATTGGCCATCTGCAACGATGTTGCTCGGGGGACATCCTGATGTTTTGATGTTTTACCATCCTGTGGGAGGCTTCTCTCATGTCCCCGCATGGGGAGCTGGAGCTGACAGCGGAAGCTCATCCACACTCCCCCTGGATTTGAACCTCTGACCTGGTAGTCTTCAGTCCTGCAGGCACAAGGGTTTAACCCAGGGGTCTTCAAACTAAGGGCCGAGGGCCGGATATGGCCCTCCAAGGTCATTTACCCGGCCCTCGCTCAGGGTCAACCTAAGTCTGAAACTACTTGAAAGCACACAACAACAACAACAACAACAACAACAACAATCCTATCTCATCAGCCAAAAGCAGGCCCACACTTCCCAAGGAAAAACTAATAAGTTCATTGTATTGTCGAAGGCTTTCATGGCCGGAATCATTGGGTTGTTGTAGGTTTTTTCGGGCTATATGGCCATGTTCTAAAGGCATTTTCTCCTGACGTTTCGCCTGCATCTATGGCAAGCATCCTCGGCGGTAGTGAGCTTAACATAGATGCAGGCGAAACGTCAGGAGAAAATGCCTTTAGAACATGGCCATATAGCCCGAAAAAACCTACAACAACGTAATAAGTTTATATTTGTTAAAATTGTTTTTCATTTCAATTATTGTATTGTTTTTAAGTTTTTTTTTGCACTACAAATAAGATATGTGTAGTGTGCATAGGAATTCATTCATGTTTTTTTCAAATTATAATCTGGCCCTACAACAGTTTGAGGGACTGTGACCTGGCCCTCTGTTTAAAAAGTTTGAAGACCCCTAGTTTAAGCCATTGCACCACCGGGGGCTCTTGTGGACTCAGATAACACTTTCAAAGCAGATATTGTGGTATTTTCTGCCTTAATACTGTATAGATGACTGTATGGAAGGGCCCTTACACTAACTTCAAGTCCCACAATTCCTAACAGTCAGTAAACTGTCTAGGGTTTCTGGGAATTGAAATCCAAAACATCTGGAGGGCCAAAGTTTGCCCAGCCCTCCACTAAACTGAATGGGACTTTTGGATTGATACAGAACATTGTGATGTTAATCCTGACACTCTCTTTCTGCTTGCTCACCTTTTTATTAGATGTGAAGTGTGTCAGACCTGTATGCTCTCCTCAAATAGATCAGGAGCAAGATTTGATAGCCTATGGAAAGCTTTCCACCTGAAACCAACCTTATGACTAAGCAAAGAATCAAAGGGGTGAGACAAGGGTGGGTCAGAGAAGTCTTGACTCTCCATTCAAAAGAGCACCAGGAACACCACTGTGGAAAGGCAAGAAGTTATCCCTCAGGAAAAAGGAGTTGAAAGAACAGGATACTGTTTTCAGTGGGTGGAAATAAAAAGAAAAGAACTTTGCGAGGCTTACGTTTCCTGTTAGCAGAGTAGCTGCGATGGAAAAACTCAGAGTTTCAAAAAAAAAAGCGATAAACATCGTCTAAGAAGAGCATTGTTGAAACATCATTTCCTGTTGCAGCTTGGGTTGCATTGAATAATAATAATAATAATAAATAAATAAATAGCAAAGTGAACTAAGCAATGTGAACAGAGTTTGATAGAAGAGAGTTGAGAAAGAGTAAGGATGTGTCCCCCATTCTTCGGCATCACCAACAGATAGACCCCCATAAAGCATAAAAATGCAAAAGGTCTCAAAGGGCTTAAAAGGAGATGCTCAGCATTGTAGTGCTTAGAGTTTATTATATGTTTTGAGTTTCTCTTAATGTGGGTTTAATGTTTCCCTGTATATTTTTAATTATGTGTCATACTTTTAATTGCAAGGCCCCTTCCACACAGCTGAATAAAATCCCACATTATCTGCTTTCAACTGGAATACATGGGACTCAGATAACCCAATTCAAAGCAGATATTGTGGGATTTTCTGTAGTTATATGGCTGTGTGGAAGAGAACTTGGTTATCCGAGTCCACACTGCCATATAATTCAGTTCAAAGCAGATATTGTGGGATTTTCTGCGGTTATATGGCTGTGTGGAAGGGTCTTGGGTCATCCGAGTCCACACTGCCTGATATAACCCAGTTCAAAGCAGATATTGTGGGATTTTCTGCCTTGATATTCTGGGTTATATGGCTGTGTGGAAGGGTCCTGGGTTGTCCGAGTCCACACTGCCTGATATAACCTAGTTCAAAGCAGATATTGTGGGATTTTCTGCAGTTATATGGCTGTGTGGAATGGCCCTGGGCTATCAGAGTCCACACTGCCATATAACCCAGTTCAAAGCAGATATTGTGGGATTTTCTGCCTTGATGTTCTGGGTTATATGGCTGTGTGGAAGGGCCCTGGGCTATCCGAGTCCACACTGCCATATAATCTAGTTCAAAGCAGATACTGTGGGGGTTTCTGCCTTGATATTATGGGTTATATGGCTGTGTGGAAGGGCCCTGGGCTATCCGAGTCCACACTGCCATATAACCCAGTTCAAAGCACATATTGTGGGATTTTCTGCCTTGATATTATGGGTTATATAGCTGCGTGGAAGGGTCCTGGGTTGTCCGAGTCCACACTGCCTGATATAACCCAGTTCAAAGCAGATATTGTGGGATTTTCTGCCTTGATATTCTGGGTTATATGGCTGCGTGGAAGGGTCCTGGGTTGTCCAGGTCCACATTGCCCGATATACCCAGTTCAAAGCAGATACTGTGGGATTTTCTGCCTTGATACTATGGGTTATATGGCTGTGTGGAAGGGCCCTGGGCTATCCGAGTCCACATTGCCATATAACCTAGTTCAAAGCAGTTATTGTGGGATTTTCTGCCTTGATATTCTGAGTTATATGGTTGTGTGGAAGGGTCCTGGGTTATCCGAGTCCACACTGCCATATAACCCAGTTCAAAGCAGATATTGTGGGATTTTCTGCAGTTATATGGCTGTGTGGAAGGGTCTTGGGTTATCCGAGTCCACACTGCCATATAACCTGGTTCAGAGCTGATATTGTGGGATTTTCTGCCTTGATATTCTGGGTTATACGGTTGTCTGGAAGGGCCTTAAGCTGCTTCTGGAGAGATAAAGCAGGGCATAAACAAACACAATCATAATACTTTAAATATATATGAAACTTTTTGTGTGCTAATAGCAAATACTCTCTCAAACAGGGGTAATACTCTTATCAGAACTTTCTGCAAAAACCAGCTTCCTCTCTGGTTTTTCCTACAAGGCCCAGGAGGCAGTGGAGAGAAGATCATCCTGTTTGTTTTCAGATTTGAGAAAGAACTAAAATCCCATTGGGGGAAAAGAGAGAGAAACTTAACACACAATAGAAAGCATGGAGTGGCCATGAGTGCAAAACAAAGCAGAGGGAGGGAGAGAAAGAAGGAGGGAGGGAGAGAAGGAGGGAGGGAGGGAAAAGCGATTGGCTTTGTGGGAAAAGGATGAGAGAGAGAGAGAGAAAGAGAGGAAGAGAGAGGAAGAGAGAGGAAGGAAGGAAGAAGGAAGAAGGAAGAAGGAAGAAGGAAGAAGGAAGAAGGAAGGAAGGAAGGAAGGAAGGAAGGAAGGAAGGAAGGAAGGAAGGAAGGAAGGAAGGAAGGGGGAAGAGAGGGAAGGAAGGGTCAGTTAGAAATAGGGAGGAGACTGAGCAGATCTGCTCAGAGCTTTGCTCAGGAAGCCAGACTTACCCAACCGCAGCCTGGAGAGAAGTTTCCCCAATTTAGGGCCAAGGGGCCGGAAGTTCCTTCCCCAATTCTCTGCCTCTTTTCAGCTCCTTTCTGGGGTCGAGATCTCCATGGGCTCCGGCTCCCCCAAGGCAGCAAACCTCCACCCAAGATCCGAGGCTGAAACTAAAGCGAGGAGCTGCTAGGAGTCCGGACAGGAAGCCTCTTCTTGGGCAAAGCGGGCCACGCCTGTTTTACAACCCGAGGCCGCGCCCTCCCCCTCCGGCGCAGACAAGGGAAGTGCTGGTAGACCGGGAGGAACTCCTTCCCTCCCTCCATTGCCTGAATGGAACAGCCGTCTCCTGCTGGTTGGCAGGCGAGCAAGCAGGCAGGCATCTCCCCGCAGAAACCTATGGTGGTCTATGGCGTGGAGGACAAAAGGATCCACTGTGATCCAGGAATGTGCTGCCTGCCTGGGCATTGTTCTTTCTTTAGCCACAAAGCACATAAACACAGGTTGCAGGGAACCTTCCCCTGCTTCAATGAGGCTGCTTGCTTGGTGAAGGCAGAGCAGCCTTTGGGAGCATGGCAATGAGGGAAAGGTCTCTGCCATCCGCACAATGGTCTGCTCAGCCTGAGCACCCCTTATCCACGTTTCTGAGTGACAGAGATTGTGACCCCTTGGCTTCCTGGTACCCCCATGTACATCTTTTTGTGTGGGTTTGTGTGTGTGCCCAAAATTATTTAGTATATGGTTATTATTCATTATATCTGCCTCGGTCTTCTCACAAAAAGAAAGTCATCTTCAACCTCAGCAAGATGGAGTAGATGAGAGATTAGAGGACATCAAACCCCAAATTGGGAAACAAGTCGTCCAGGAATACCTGGCCGCTCTAAATGAGTTCAAGTCCCCAGGGCCAGATCAACTACACCCAAGAGTACTGAAGGAACTAGCGGAAGTCATTTCGGAACCATTGGCAATCATCTTTGAGAGTTCTTGGAGAACGGGAGAAGTTCCAGCAGATTGGAGGAGGGCCAATGTGGTCCCAATCTTCAAGAAGGGAAAAAAGGATGACCCAAACAATTATCGTCCGGTCAGCCTCACGTCGATACCAGGCAAGATTCTGGAAAAGATTGTTAAGGAAGTGGTCTGCAAACATTTTAATCTTTTAAAAGTAACTTTGAAAGCTTTTCCTAAATTCCTAAATACATCCTGGGTTGATTTATCAAAAACAAAAACAAGTCATGCCAGACTAATCTGATCTCTTTTTTCGATAGAGTTACAAGCTGGGTAGATGCGGGGAATGCCGTGGATGTAGCGTACCTGGATTTCAGTAAGGCCTTCGACAAGGTCCCCCATGACCTTCTGGCAAGGAAACTAGTCCAATGTGGGCTAGGCAAAACTATGGTGAGGTGGATCTGTAATTGGTTAAATGGACGAACCCAGAGGGTGCTCATCAATGCTTCCTCTTCATCGTGGAAAGAAGTGACGAGCGGAGTGCCGCAGGGTTCCGTCCTGGGCCCGGTCCTGTCGCACGCACACACGCAACCCCACTCCCCCCCCCGCGTGACGAGCGGAGTGCCGCAGTGTTCCGTCCTGTGCCCGGTCCAACATCTTTATTAATGACTTAGATGAAGGGTTAGAAGGCAGGATCATCAAGTTTGCAGACGACACCAAATTGGGAGGGATAGCCAATACTCCAGAGGACAGGAGCAGGATTCAAAACGATCTTGACAGATTAGAGAGATGGGCCAAAACTAACAAAATGAAGTTCAACAGGGACAAATGCAAGATACTCCACTTTGGCAGAAAAAACGAAATGCAAAGATACAGAATGGGGGACAATGCCTGGCTCGAGAGCAGTACGTGTGAAAAAGATCTTGGAGTCCTCGTGGACAACAAGTTAAACATGAGCCAACAATGTGATGTGGCGGCAAAAAAAGCCAATGGTATTTTGGCCTGCATCAATAGGAGCATAGTGTCTAGATCTAGGGAAGTAATGCTACCCCTCTATTCTGCTTTGGTTAGACCACACCTGGAATATTGTGTCCAATTCTGGGCACCACAATTCAAGAGAGATATTGACAAACTGGAATGTGTCCAGAGGAGGGCAACTAAAATGATCAAGGGTCTGGAGAACAAGCCCTATGAGGAGCGGCTTAAGGAGCTGGGCATGTTTAGCCTGAAGAAGAGAAGGCTGAGAGGAGATATGATAGCCATGTATAAATATGTGAGAGGAAGCCACAGGGAGGAGGGAGCAAGTTTGTTTTCTGCTGCCCTGGAGACTAGGATGCAGAACAATGGCTTCAAACTACAGGAAGGAGATTCCACCTGAACATTAGGAAGAACTTCCTAACTGTGAGCACTGTTCAGGAGTGGAACTCTCTGCCCTGGAGTGTGGTGGAGACTCCTTCTTTGGAGGCTTTTAAGCAGAGGCTGGATGGCCATCTGTCAGGGGTGATTTGAATGCAATATTCCTGCTTCTTGGCAGGGGGTTGGACTGGATGGCCCATGAGGTCTCTTCCAACTCTTTGATTCTATGGTTCTATATTATAATTCCACTTGCTTCTCATCAGTTCTGTCACCTAGGATGGCAGCATTATTATTATTACATTTATACCCACAATAATAATAATAATAATAATAATAATAATAATAGTATTGTCGAAGGCTTTCATGGCCGGAATCACTGGGTTGTTGTAGGTTTTTTCGGGCTATATGGCCATGTTCTAGAGGCATTCTCTCCTGACGTATAAAAAGCAAGTACCACTGAGAAGGCGTCTCTTGTTCCTACCAAATGAACCTGAAAAGGTGATGCCACAGAGAGAAGGGCCTCTCCAGATGATTGCAGTGTTCTAACAGACTCGTAGATATAATCGGCTCATATGCAGGATGCCGAGAAATTAAACATATTGTGAACAGAAATCTCTTTCTTTACCAAGGAAGAAGGAGCCCCCGGTGGCACAGTGGGTTAAACCCCTGTGCTGGCAGGACTGAAGACCTACAGGTCGCAGGTTTGAATCCGGGGAGAGGCGGATGAGCTCCCTCTATCAGCTCCTTATGCGGGGACATGAGAGAAGCCTCCCACAAGGATGGTAACACATGAAAACATCCGGGTGTCCCCTGGGCAACGTCCTTGCAGATGGCCAATTCTCTCACACCAGAAGCGACTTGCAGTTTCTCAGGTCGCTCCTGACATGGCAAAAAAAAAAAAAAAACAAGGAAGAAAAACAGAGAAGGGAGCTGTCTAGTCCCCCTTGGAGGGAAGTTCTAGAGCATGTAAAGAGCCACCAAGAAGGTGTCTTCTTGTATCTTCAGTGGATCTCTGAAACCGTGGTGGTTGCTGGTTCCCATGATAATGACAGTGAATCCACTATAGGTTTTAATTCGACCTGTAAATGAGCTCTCCAAGGTGCTGAACCTCTTTCTAAATAGGCCCAGCAGCTTAGATTGGTTCATTAAAGCTAGCTCATTAATTCTGGAATTGATGTCCCACCAATATGAGTTTGTTGTTTGTTTATTTGTTTTTTGTTTTGTTTTTGTCATGTCAGGAGCGACTTGAGAAACTGCAAGTCGCTTCTGGTGTGAGAGAATTGGCCGTCTGCAAGGACGTTGCCCAGGGGATGCCTAGATGTTTTGATGTTTTATCATCCTTGTGGGAGGCTTCTCTCATGTCCCCGCATGAAGAGTTGGAGCTGAAAGAGGGAGCTCATCCGCGCTCTCCCCAGATTCAACATGAGTGTCATCAGTTGTTATTGTCCTGAGCATAGTGGTACCTATCAACGGCCCTTTTATAAAGATTGCAATAGTTTTAAGATATAACTTAAGGAAAAGAAAAAAATCTTTTTTTTCTTTCCCATAAAGATTGCAATTGCTGCTTTTTGATAGCTTAGATCCAGTCTGTTTGTAAGATGTTAAATTTAGAAGTATTAGTGCACATTATGCTGCTCTTCAAATGCCACCTTCAATATGTATCTACAGAAGTGAACTCTGTAGATACATATCTGCTTTAAAATATATATTGTGCTAAATATATAAATATATATTTGCCCATCTGCTTTTAAATATATATTATGCCAGAATTTGAAAGGCTTTCAATTGTATAAGTCAGGAAATAGAAGATGAAGTGAAACATGGTTCAACTAAGCATGCAAAATAGTCCAGTAGGTGTGATTTCCTGTGTTTCTTTCATCTCTGCTTCAGCATAAACTTCCAAACAATGAATCTGTGTCTCATGTCTGGATAGTTTAGCATGACATTATTATTTTTTCATTGCCATTGTTTTTTTCTTCTTCTCAGCTTGATTCAATTTGTCCCTATTTTCCTTCCCATTCAAGATACTCATGCCAGCTGAGATAGAAAAAAAAAATGTACCGTGTAATGAAATCCAGGAAGATCAGCAGTCTGCAAGGATTGCTATAGAAGCGGCGGACTGTAGTAATTCAACTAGAAAACAGTGCTACCATGAGAGAAGCAGGGTCATTGTGAAGCCTGCATTTGAGACACATATTACAAAGGCTGCTTGAGGTCATGTTATTTCTTAATGCTATATGTGTCCTTCAATGAATAAACATAAAATAAAAGAATTTTGGAAATTCACTGTTCGCAGCTAAAAAAAGCTAACAACAACCAGGAGTTGATCTTGCAAACTTGATTTGTTCAATACTTGAGAAACATTCAGTTGCTGTTCATGGATCCTGAAGTCAAGGCTACAACAATGGGACATAAGTGGGTTGTATAATGGTCGTAAACAATTTTTTCTTCAACGAAATCCATTTGTACAACTTTATCTGTGTATACTGGTCAAAATCTTGTGAGGAGTACTGAATGATCCTCTGAAACTGACTTTTTTCCATCACATACCAACTTTATAATCCACTAGCCGTCCTCTGCCACACGTTGCTGTGGCCCAGTCTGGTGATCTGAAAATAAAGTAATGTGAAAGTGTGAGTTTCTAATATATGTAATTGCTTTCTGCTTGTTTGTAAACAGCATTTCTTGATGTTTGTTTGTCAGTATTGATGTGGAGATTGTCTGGTTTGCCTACTCTGGAATATGAAACATAGAATTGTCCTTCTTTAGGGGTCCCTTTCAAATCTATGATACTATATCTCTGTGTATGTGTGTGTGAATCATATATATCTATCTATAACTATGGCTGGATGGCTCTTTGTTAGGAGGGCTTTGATTACATTTTCTTGCCCTGGTGAAGAGAGTTGGACTGGATGGCCTTAAGTATTTTTTGTTGGTCATGGGGGTTCTGTGTGGGAAGTTTGGCCCAATTCTGTCATTCGTGGGGTTCAGAATGTTCTTTGATTGTAGGGGAAAT